TGGCTTACCCATTCCCATGTTCTGCAGCTTTCCCCCTCATATTTCTCTACATTTGCAAAGTACTACTGACTAAACAAAGTATGTTCTATGGAACCCAGATGCTCAAGGAAGAAAAGCTTCTCTCATAAAACAGTTCAGGATGTGTTGCAAACCCTCTCCACTACTTGCAGATTTACAATGTACATTAATCAAAACTGCGATGAAAATTGCAGTAGGTAGGGAAGCTTCTCTGTCTGGATCTTCTTCTACTGGCCGTGCGGTTAGGACAAGTCTGCACAGCTCTGGAGGGCTCAGCTCTCTCATCTCTGACATGATAGCATTTTCTCAACCACCTTAACAACTGCCTTCAGACATAGGCTGATTGTGGGACTCTGGAGCAGACATTTCTGGCTGCCCACCCAGATCCATTTCTTCCTTCCTCCTTTTAAACTCCTATTTTGTTTAGATAGCTACCCTCTGCCATGCACTACACAGGCCTCAGGGGCCACTGAGCTCCCTTTAGCTGAACTAAGCCAAGAGTGACCATATCTTGCTTGTGATTTGCTGGCAGCCTGGGTGAAGACCATCTTCTCTTCTTGGAAGGTGTCTAGTAGTATCCCTCTGTCTGTTCCCCTGGACACCAGGTGGGCTGTATGGAACAGTTAGAGGACAGGAGGGAGGTGAGAGTTAAAACAACAGCAGATAACGGAGCTAGAACTGTTGGCTTAAGTCCACTCTGAAACCCCACTCTTCCTCTAAACCTCAGTTGTGTGAGCCAATACATTTATTTATGACCATTTGATTGGGACTCTCTGTCAGTTGTAGTTAAAGTCATCCTGATGGATATGGCATTCTATAAAAGCTACACACCTTGGGGACCCTCAACACCCTTATCAGAATCTGTCTCTAGGACCCACTTACCCTGTGTTGCTTTAGGAATACTTTAGACACAGCTGGAAAAAAAGTGTTCAGCACCATTTTTTCTTTTTCAGAAAATGATGGAAGGGAATTTGAAGCTTATTCTAGAATCTATTCTGGAATCTATTCAAAATAGACCTTTGGCAGTTCACTCTCTGACCCTCTGCATACTTAGAATTAATCCTCTTTTCTCTTTTATAACAAACCTACATCCTCTCTCCTGCCCCTACTACTCCAATTCTCATTGGATATTTTTTGTTTTAAAGATTTTTTGAGAGAGAGAGGGAGGAAGAGAGAGAGAGGAATGAGCCGAGGGGGGGCGGGCAGGAAGGGCAGAGGGAAAGAATCTCGGGCAAACTCCCCACTAAGCAGGGAGCCCTATACGGGGGTTCAATCTCATGCCCCTGAGATCATGACCTGATCTCAAGCTGAAATCAAGAGTTGGTGGTTAACCAACTGAGCCACCCAGGTGCCCCCTCATTGGATATTTTGACACCAAAGTCTTTTTCAATTTCTTGCTCACAAGGGGCAAATCAGTCCGAGGTCTGGGACACTTAGCCACCATTCCAGAGCCCTTTGCAATGGTCTAAAAAATTCATGTAATGAATGGACTCCAATGCCGGACTGATTTCTTGGATTCTAGTTTTTAAATTACATTGGAAACACCAGAGTCAATTCATAATACACAGGGCTTTCATGTTAGAACTCAAAAGTCAGGTGTTAGCATCTGGGCCTTCTGATCACCAATGTCACTTCTGTTTCTATTCTCTAGGTTAGTAGTTCTCAGAGTGGCTGTGTATCAGAATCACCGGAGGAGTTTTTTCAAAATAGATTTTCTGACTCAAGTATAACATAAAAAATCAGGTGTTTGTTTGTTTTGTTTTGTTTTGCAAGCTCCCGGAGTGAATTTCATGCAACCACCCAAGTACCCATTACTGAAGACATTTAGGAAGCACTTCTCTGGCCCTAGTGGTTCTTGTATGTGCATCAGAAACACCTGGAGTCCTAATTAAAATACAGACTGAACCCTCAGAGTTTCTGATTCAATAGGTCTGGGATGGAGTCTGAGAATTGTGCATTTCTTTCAAGTTTCATGTGATACTGATGCCAGTCTGGGGACCACACTTCGAGAACCACAGCTCTAACCCAGGTTACTTGTACATGTGTTTATTATTCATTAGGTTTTTTATTATGTAGCCAAGAACTGGGCTTCACAGGAAGGAATTATCCTTTCAGATCAAGGGTAACACACCCAGCTGAACATCATAATCACCCAGGAGCTTTTATTTTCTTTAATTTAACATTCAATTATTGGGATTAGGCTTATGCTTCACCTCAGATCTACTGAATCAACATCTCCAGGATGCCCTGGTAATTTGTATTGTTTTGAAGTTACCCAGAAGGTTCTGATTACAAGGATTTGAAAACATTGCCTTAGATGAGCCAGACTTGTGAGTTTATGAATAACTTATACTAAAAATTATCTGAAATTCAATTTTAATAGGGCATCCCATATTTTCAGTTGTGCATCTGGCACCCCTACTCAGCTGTATTTGTGAACAGTTTATTTCCTCTGTGTGTTCCCTCTTTTGCTCAACACAGCCCTATTTTAAATGCTCAAGGGGGTTGTGGTAAGGAGTGAAATCCACGCAAACATGATGTCAGGGTGAAGAAGAGAAAATTAAGATGTTTCCTCAGGAAAGAAACACACACACACACACACACACGAAATTTCATTAATCTAGACAGCAGAAACAAAATCAGAAAGAAAAAAACTACTGTCTGCTAATGGTTTTTTACCAGACGATTCATCAGTTATACGGTCAAAAGAAACCCTGGGGAATAAAAAGACACCAAAGTTGCTATTAAAATGTTTCAAGTGAAGCCATATATAATTAATTTCAAACAAGAATAAGCTATGAAAACTCAAATACTTCAAGGTGCTGAGTGAAAGGAGGGAAAAATCTACATCAAGCTTCAAAACTGTTGCTTCCAGGTGAGTCTAAGATTAAGCCAGAGACAGGGAGATAATGATGTCTGCTCCCTCCCTGTTTTACTGGAAGCTAAAGAACCTTAAGAGGAGATGCTCCCAGGGCATCAAGGACGAGAAGAAACAAATATACAGCCCAGCACCTGACATCAGCACATAACAACTAAGAAACTGAACTGAATGAGTGGAACAAAATCAAAACAGAGAAGAAAAATTCACTGATGCAGAAGACAAAGAATATAAAGGAAGTTATTTGGCAAACCACCACACAGGGTGCATAACCACGGAGTACCACGGTCCCTCCAAAGCAAGCAGGTTTCTCTTAATGCTCTTCTGCCATTTCATAGGTTAGGCACCAGCAAACTTCCACTGTAAAGGACAAGGTGAATCTTTTAGACGTTATAGACCATACACTCTCTGTCGCATCTTCTCATCCTTGCTGTTGTGGGAAAGCAGCCATAGACACTCTGTAAACGAAGACATGGCTGTGTTCCAATAAAACTTTATTCACAAAAATACATGGTTGCTGTGGACTGAATGCTCGTGTCCCTTCAAAATTCACATGTTGAAACTTCAATTCCCAATTTGATGGTATTTGTATGTGTGGTCTTTGGGAGTTGATTAAATCATGAAGGTGGAGTGGTCATGAATGGGACCAGAGCCCTTATAAGGGAGTAAAGAGACCAGTCTCTCTCTGCCCTGTATAAATATAAGTAGATGGTGGTCTGCAAACCAGGAGGGCCCTCACCAGATCTCTGATCTGCCGGCACCTTAATCTTGGACTTCTCAACCCCTAGAACTGTAAGGATTAAATGTTTTTAAGCCACATAATCAATAGTGTATTTGTTACAAAAATCCAGTAGACTAAAAGTGGTAGGACATGTTTGGTTCATGGACCATAGTTTGCTGACTCCCACCATAGGTGAGCCCACATAGCAAGGATAACATCATTAATGGATTCTATGGAGCACCCAGTGTTCTGATGGTGGATGCTCAGTTAAAAAACAAAACACTCCATCTACTCATCACCATACATAAAAGGGCAGAGTGTCTGAAGGTCACCCCAACTGTAAAGGCAGGGAATCAGGATTCTGGAAACAGAAAGAAGTTGCTGAGACTGTTAAAAAAGGGAAAGACGAGACAAAGGGACCAAACATTTTAGCATGTTTTTAGAAAGGTCACTTGGTGGCCCTGACATTCAGAGAAAAGTTGACCATATGGGGGAGGGGCCCTCTTGCCAGTTTCTTTGAAGTTAAGCTGCTACTGGGGAGGATGAATCATAGGAGGAGGTGTCATCCTTCTGCATCAGGAAGGCTTCCTGATCTTCTCAATTCACTAATTCGCATTTAACATCCCAAGAAGTGTCCTTTCCAAAAAGAGAAAGCTAGGTCACTTTGGGCATGGAAGTTTATAATTTAAGCCAGAATATATCACCTATGGTGCATGGAAACATAACTTCAGTGACCTCCTTTATGACACCGGTAAATGTTTTATCCAAGGTTGCCAGGTCAATCAAGAAACACATACAAGCATGCATTCTACATTGTATAATTTAAAAGCTTTATTTCCCCCCACATGAGCAAATGGGTTTCATATTGGTTCAACTGGAAGTTTTCTTCCTATAGCTAGTGGCCTTTCTCATTGACTATGTCATTGGTGGGGAAATTGCTTTCTCACAGGGGAAGGGTAAGATTTCATAGAGACACTGAGCTAATCACACACAGAAACGTGAGGGTCTGACCCAGCAGCTTCCGAAAGAGTCTTGAGGCCAACGAGTCCCTTCAGCTAATGGCCTGGGCAGGCAGGAACACCACAGGCTTACCACCACGCACCCATTGCAGATGCTGGGCAGGCTCCTCCCTGTGGAAGTGACAAAATGCAGCCCCTCTGGCCAGGAAGCCTGTGGCGATCCCCTCAGTTCCTGCCATTCCCCTTCCCTCAATCCTGTGGCCTGATGCAGGAGTGTTTTAGCTCAGCAAACAACTGGCTTCTGCTTTGGGGTCCAAGGTGCACTCTTCAAGTGCGAGACTGGTCTTCGCTCAAATGTTGTGTTCACACAGTTCGTGGCCGGTGCTTCATGGGGCAGTTTCTGCCTCTCCTAGGAACAGTGGCCTCATATCAGCAGAAGCACGAAGACCCAGGCAAGCACTGGTAGGCAGAGTGTGGGGGCACCACTGCCAGATGTTCTCTGCGCGTGCATCACGGCGAAGACTGCATTCGTGTGGTTGGTGGGTAACTCTACATTACAGATCATGCCTTCACAGCAAGACCTACACTCCTGTCACAAAGGCAAGAGGAGAGGGGAAAGAGGGTGAGTGATGGGAAGGAGAGGGGAGGGTGAAGCAAAGAGCCACAAAATCAAGCTTCTTCAGCACTGAAATTAGGTAGAATTAGAGTTAACCAACTCGGGGCGCCTGGGTGGCTCAGATGGTTGAGCATCTGCTTTCAGCTCAGGTCGTGGTCCCGGGGTCCTGGGATCGAGCCCCACATCGGGCTCCTGGCTCAGTGGGGAGCCTGCTTCCCCCCTCCCTCTGCCTCTCCCCCTGCTCATGCTCTCTCTATCTCTGTGTCTCAAATGAATAAATAAATAAAAAAAATCTTTAGAGTTGACCAGCTCATCCAGTCTACGAGACACTCAGGCCCCCCGAGTACCTACCCCCCCCCCACTGACCCGGAAGTAAGGACTATCTTGACAGTCTTTTCATTTAACAGTGATTTATCTGCAGCAAGCCAAGCATAAGCAAGGAAAAGAAGAGGAAGGGAAACTGAATAAGACTGCTTAATTGAGTCAACAAATCTAAGGTTTGTAAGGAGAAACACTGAAACAAAAATGAAAGCTAGGAACCTTTTGGATTGGTCATTGATTTTCTTTCTCGGTACTACTTGTTAGGGGATAATAATGACTCTCTATTGTCTATACTAACACCCGATTCCTATTGTTACAGCAGCAATGGCTTGCTAATTATGGCTGCTGGGTGGTTGAAAAAGGCTTGTCCCCTCACAGCACAAGATGTTTTTCAGGGGAGGCAATCTCCTATCATAATACCTGGAACAATGCTTCAACCTGATAAACCTAGCTAGCCATTCATAGAGGCATCCAGGCTGGCTAGCTAAGAAAAGGGCAGCAACTCAGAAGTACCTTTATCGGCAGCTTTCAACCCTGGCTGCACATGAGAATCTCCTTGGGGAACTTTAAAAAAAGGAAAGATGCTGATGCCTAAGACTCCACCCTGAAGTTCTGTTTCAGCTGATCTGGGATGTTCCCCCCCCACCCCACCGCCGACAAGAACATAGCTGTGAAAGCTCCCCAAGTGACTCTCCTATGGAGCCAGAGCAGAAAGCCACTGGTGTCAGAACCACTTTCTGTACACATAAACTAAATCAAATTCTAAAATCTCATGAAATTCACACACTTTTCAAGTAATTTTTTTTCACAAACACTTCAGAATTCCAGGCATATAAAAGAGGAAAACTGCTCATTTAGAATGAGAAAATCGAGATCAGGTGATCTAAAATCTATCCATAGTTCATCCTATTAAACAGATTCTTTCAGACTCTCACTTCCTCATCTAAGCAGAGGTGGGGGTAACACCAGGACTCCCCCATTTCCCTCTTTCCACCTTCCAGCTTCACTGGCCAGTGTGCCCCGTGATACTTGGCCATAAAGAAAATACATGAGCTGGGCTCTGTAGTGTTTGCCATTCTCTCATGGGTGGTTTGGTCTTGGGCTTCCAGAGCTGACTTCAATCTACCTGAAGTCCGAGGTCCAGGGTGTAGCTGTGTGGTTTGGGAATTAGTATTTGTTTCTAGTAACATTATTTTTTTCTTGAAGGACGAAGAGTCTTCCAGTTCTCTGTGGTCTCTGTTGCGTCCCTGTCAGGGAGTCTTTCCGCAAAGAGTAAACACGTACACAATCTCGCTTATCCTTCCTGCCTTTCCGTAATGTATAACCAACCATCAGTAACAAACCTCAGGAGAGTAACATTACACACACACACTCCTTACTGTATGTTCAGAATCTCGGCTGTGGTGGCAGCCAACAAAATGACATTCACTTCTGGAGGCACATTTTTTGGTAATGGATGTACTTCTTCCATGACTGGTAAAGTGGTGAACTGTCAGACAGTACTGTGTATCTAGGCAGGAAGGAAAAAAAAAAAAAAGGCAACCACACGTTTCACATTGCAAAAGAGAGGCTCAACATTCACTTCAGACAGGACTAAAATTCAGGACAATCCTTAGGTTTCTAGGCAAGAGGTTTAATGGCAGGAGTGGACACCTATCCTTTGGTGCCCTCTAAAGCTGACCTTAGGTCTGCTATTTCATATCAAAGTGCCTGTATCTCTGTCTCCCTCCCTCTGAAGCATGGGTTCTAGGACTCTATGGAATGAAAGGCGTAAATGTAAAATGCAATGGGTTAGAGCACTTCTTGGTGTATTATTCAGCATTTGTTTCTTGTCTACTAAGAGACATGTGGTAAATGAAAAGCAGGTGCTTTAAAGTATACATCAAGACCACCTTCCTGATGCACGCAGTTCTTACCCATGCTCTAATCCTCCCATAGTGTTTGGCTTTTCCTGAGTATTCCCATTTTTCTCCCCTTTCTTAACTCTAACTGTCTCTGTCCCCTCCCTGCCACACAGCTCGCTCATTTCTACAACTTTCCATATGGCTCTAAGCACTCATGTTTTACTACTTTTAAAGAAAGTGATTTCATTCAATATCCAAGGAACTTCTGCTTTAGTCTTGCATCTCTCTATAGTGATCTCAGGCCAGTGCAATGCTCCTTAGTTTATTGAGAATGGACTAGAGCAGCAATCCCATAAAATGGGGGGAAAACTTATTTAATACGGAGAACACTTGGCTTCACAGAACTGCCTCAGTTACAAGTGAGCCCCATTAGGTCCTTCAAGCTCACTTACTTTTGAATAAAATGATGTTGACAAGTATGCTGACATTTTGATAGGGTTGTTGTAAACTTCAAATAATATTAACACATACTGAGGGGATACCACCAGCTAGGCACTCTAGCATGTATTCACTCAGTCAACCCTTACAATAAGCCTTAAGACAAGTCTTATTAATATCATTTTACAGATCAAGAAAAACAAAGGCACAGTGTCTTGCCCATGGTTACATTAGGTAGAAGGTGGTGGAAGGTAGGATTCTAACCTGGGCAGTTTTCTAGGGTTTGTACTCTTCACCAGAACACTATTCTGCCTCCCGGCATACTTAGTACTAAATCAGATGATGGTGTAGGGCACTTGACACAAGTAGTTGACTTCCGCATTCAGAAGGAAAAGGAACGACTATAATGTTTTGGAAAGGCATTTCAACTTAGACTTCAAACAAAGGGGAGCTGAAAACTGGTAGCTGTGTGTGTTCCTATAAAATGTCACCCGTGCTAAAGCAGCCCTGGAAAGTCAGAACAGAAGCCAGGGTAAATAAAACAAGACATGTCATTCTTGTCATATCCTGTCACACCGAGAACCGCTCTTAACAACACTGACAGGCCACAGAAGGAAAACTCGAAGGGGAAAGGAAACCTGAGATGACAAAGAACAATAGCTGTGGGCCTGTTCACCCCAAGAAATGGTTGACTACCACTCTCCTAAATAGTGGCAAATTGTACAAAATTACACCCTCAGTTAGAATTCCAGATGGTTAGTATCTTCGGGGCTTGACTGGAGTACAGTCAAGAATGTTCCATCATGCACACTGGAATGAGGGGGTTATTCCATGGCAAGCTCTTAAAGAGTCAGGTGTGCAGGGGGGACCTGGAAGAGCCCACGGGCTTCACCTCTCCCATCTCTGACATTTTCTTGGTGGTAGAAAGCTGCAGGATTCCTCTTTTGTTCATCCGTTTCAACAGACGTGAAATTCTAAAACCCCAAATATCCATGCACGTTCCCATTAAAAATGGTTTTGATTAATAAATGACAATTTGAAGTGTTACGCACAGACCTAGTGGGAACAGTGTTTTGATATAATTCAAAATAATATAGTCCGTGAAGTTAAAACACAAGAATGGACATCAACGCCCCAATTGACTATGGTCTTAATTCTTAGCACCGAATGTTTCAGAGGAATTTAAAGCAAAAAGGGAAAGAACGATACCCACCCTTCTGAAGTAAGGTAATAAAGAAAGCATTGGCCAACCTTGAAAACTATGAAGTAACAAAGATATATTTCTGTGCAAAATGTAGAAACACATCTCCAAACGCATAACATATGTACATGTACTCAGAAGCACATACCCAATTGAGGGTCACTCTACAGAAATGTAAAAGAACGTCAAGAAAAAATTATAATAATTACTTTTGAAAAGAAATCATGACAAATACTGCCAAGTAGATGTCACAACCATTTGTGCTAATTTATAGCATCAGATTCTCAGGCCCCATAGAGGTCTGCTGTGTGGACTATTTATTGGTGCCACACACTGGCCTTCTCTGGAAGAAGTAAGGCTATTTCACTGCTTTATACAATATGATACAGACATTTCCAAAAGAGTCAAGGTAATAGTAGACCAAAACTGGTAATCTTTAACTCTGGAAGAGATGGTTGGTTTGATGGCTTTTCTTGGCCTTTTAAGTCTGAAAACCTAAAAAAAACCCAGTGCCTCCTAAAATCTGAATAGCCTGATCTTCGTATAGCTCTAAGTAGAGCTTTCCAATTCCAAATCCCCCATCAGCACATCCTGTCTGCTTTACCGCCAAGTTTGTATATATTAAATCATTGAACTTCTTGTCCCTCGGTTCTTACCACCCTAGTCCCAGTTGCCATCTTCTGTTGCCTGAAGACAATGAAAGACCCCACCTGGTGTCCCCTTCTACTCTTGGCCCCAACCACCCATGCTCCACATAACAGCAGAGCAGTATTTTAGAACACAACTAGAATCCTGTGCTCCCCTAGCATGTAACACCCTACCACCTTCCCATCACATTTATAATGAAATCCAAATTCTACCAGAAAAAGAAGATCCTGTGTGCCCCGGTCCTTATTTCCATGAGACTCTTTCTCTATCTGCTACGAAGCCTCACTGGCCAGTCTTCTTCCTGTTGATTGAAGAGGCCAAATCTTGTCTCCTACAGACTTTGCATTTGCTGTTCCCTCTTCCCGGCATGTTCTTTCTATATATCTCCACGTGGCTGCCCTGTTTTGGTCAGTCAGGTCTTAGTTCCTCAGAGATTTCCCTGACCACCTAATCAAAGGCATGCATTCATTCTATCAACAAATATTTACTGAGTGCTTAGTATGGGCCAGGCAACTGGATTAGGTACTAGAGATGTGTCAGCGAACTAAGCAAACAAAAAAGATATTCAAATGTTTGTCAAATGAATGAATGAGTTACCAAAGCATCAATGTATCTCAAGAGTATAAAAACCTTTCTTTGCGTTAGCCAGTATGTATGACTTTTCTAGAGGTATCATCAAGCATTTCTGAAATTCTTAGGATGCCTTAGACAATATTGTGGTCTATTTGTTCTGCCTGATAAATATTATTTAAGAAATTATCCTTGGAGGCACACACATCGACAAATTGAGGGTATGCCATCAGTTTCCAAATACTCTCAGAAGAGTCTAATATCTGCATAGTCTCCTAAAAAGAAAATCTGATTTAGACAGAACATCACCAGCCTGTTGATATGCTAATCCCATTACATAAAACATGTCTGCTCAGGGCCAGTTAAGAGAGAACTAAATGAGGTATGATCACAAGAGCGTCTTCCAAACTCAGCACACTTACTTTGTGGACACCATTTGTCTTCTGCCCATCGATTGCAGTTATAATTATCTCCTGCATTTTCACAGGTAAAACACTTGAAGCTGTTTGGAAATGGCGTAGCTTTAAAGAAAAATGCACAGTGAAACAGAAAGGTTACAAAGGACAAAATTTCAAACATCAAAGATGGCACAAAATTAGCAACTTTTGTTAGATCAAACAAAATGTACACGCCATCATCCTGAGAATTGTTGTTGCTAGGGAGCTGGATGGAACTGCCAGACTTGGGGCATGTTCTTTATTCCCTTTTCTTTAAAATACTTTGTCTACTTATCTACTAGAGAGTAATGAAAATGATTCCACAAGCCACTTTGAAATATTGTTCCATTACAATTTATAACTGGGGAATAAGTGGGAGTTGAAAGAACGGGCAAGGGTGGGGATAGTATCAGAACCAATTATTTGGTAGTGTGTGGCCCCTGAGAAGAACTAGAGTCAGGTCAACATGAGCTTGAATTCTGCTCTTCCCACTAAGTAGTTGTGTGATTTTTAGTTTCCAAGAAATAATAATATTTACAGTAATACTAACAATGTGGATCCCCATGACATGCAGAGAAATCATGAAGATTAAACAGGAGGTTGCAATAAAAATATCTAGTAGAGTCCCTGGCCCATCAGATCAGGCTAGTCTCCATCCACATGCACTTCCATTAATCTCACTTGATATATGTCAATTATCCCAACATTAGACCTCAATCAGGAATGAACATTTAATATAAGGATGGTAGTAATTCTCAGGCTCTTACGCTCAGGCTAGAGTGTTACAGAAAGCAGGAATTATGACTGCTGGCAATTTGGATTGAAAGCAACGAGAATGTCCTTTTTATCTTCATGCTTTTTTTTTCTACCTTGTATCTTGTTTTAATGGGCAAGAAGTTGAAGGTATAATAAATTTGACATTTCTTTACAAGCCATGATATAAAGCCTTGTGTAAAACTTTCAATTCTTCCACTTTTGGAGAATAAAACAGATAAAGATCAAGGAGAACCCCAAACCATCCTAGTAATCTGACCACACGCTGGTCAAATATATCTTTTTTCATTTTTTTTAAATGATGTTTTTTTCTCATCATAAAATTGTTTTAGTCTTAAAAAGTTGAAAATGTATAATTTAGATTTTATGAAAACTGTGTCTGTGCCATGTCATTAAGCTATTAGTACATAATCATTACCAATTTAGAAATGTATAATAAATGATAGTTCAAGGTGTGCATGTGTGGTACACATGTGTAATGTGTGTGTGTGATATATATATATATGTATGCACATGCACATACAATGTCCTAAATAATAAAAAAGCACAACGTAAAGAAGAGTCACGATATAGGCTGCATTTAGAAGTAGTTAGGGGCATCTGTGTGGCTCAATCGGTTAGGTGTCTGACTCTTCATTTCGGCTCAGATCATATTCTCAGGGTCATGGGATCGAGCCCTACATCAGGTTCCACACTCAGTGGGGAGTTGGCTTGAGATTCTCTCCTTCTCCCTCTCTCTGCCCCTCTCCCTGCTCGCATGTGTGCACTCTCTCTCTAAAATAAATAAATAAATCTTAAAAAAAAAAAAAAGTAGTATAAATACAGTGGTTCCTAAACCTGGATGTGCGTGCATCAATAGTATCAGGAAAACTTTTTTAAAAAGAAGAGGGGGTCGGGGAGAAAAAGGAAAGAAAAAAACAATCTGCATCCCACCCTTCTGACTATTGAATCTCTGCAGAAGGGACCAAGAAATATGTAGTTTCAAGTCTTATATCATGATTCTGCTGCTCTTCCAGGTGTGGGAACCACAGGCTTTGGTATTTCTACCAAACAACTGTTATCTATAACAACCTTTCTCTAACAAAGTATATCACGGTAGTTTCACTTGTCTGAAGAGAAAGAAAGAGAGAGGATATATGTATATAAGGTGCAGAGTCTGCTTGAGATTCTCTCTCCCTCTCCCTCTGCCCCTCCCCATTTGTGCACTCTCACTCTAAAATAAATAAAATCTTTTTAAAAAATATATTTATTTTATCCTATAGATGATATTCACTGATAATAGCTTTTTTAAAATAATTAGTGGGGGGAAGTTTTCTTTCTAATGGCGACTGTGCATATTAATGAAAATCCAAGTAGTTATTTCCCTCCAAATTTCAAACTAATCTGTTCCAAAATTGTTAATGACCATTTGAAAGAATGTATCATTTATGGAGAAACTTCCTACAGCCAATATCCTTCTCCAACAAAGGGATCAACAAAGAACACTGAATTTTCTCTGCTAAGCCATTCCTAGGAACAGTGTTCAAGAGATTATTTTAAACAAGAACCCCTTTGAGACTTCGGCAGAAAGCCAAACCATTTTAAAGAAATGGAGCAAACTTCTGTCACCATGAATTACCCTCCCCAGGGAAGCAGTGAAGACTTCCTGGTTTATTCTAGGTATAACCCAAATGTTCCAGAGCGGGCGAAGTTAGGACAGGTGAAAAGAGGGACTTTGAATAGTCACCCTGACCCCAACAGTCGCAAACTACGACTCAACAGGTACTTACGGTCCAGAGGAGGCCTCACATTATAGAAGTTGATATTCTTCGCCAATGCCCAGTTTTCTGACAAGATAAAGATCTGGACAACAGCTACGGCCAGAGCATGACGGAGGGGCAGCATTCTGACCCTGGTTGTGGGAAAATCCAAAACTCACATATCTACGATGAAGAGAGACACTGGTCGCATTTATTTGCATTTTGTGTATCAGTAGGAGTATGTTTTGCTTCCCTTTGGAAAGCCTGATTATTCAAATATATTCCACCATCTACTTGCAGGGCCCATACCTGTGAGTAAATGGCATTCTTCCCACCCAGGTGAAAGTTAAGCGATGGCTGCCTTCTACTGGTTAGTCCTCGGCACTAGCCAGCCCAGCTGGAGCAGGACACCCAAAGGCCTTCCAGGCTCAGGAAGAACAAGCAAGCAGCGTGGGTGTGGCTGCACCCCATTCCCTCACTGCCTGAGGCTGGCCGGGGTGCTTTGTGCTGAATCACCCAATCTCTTAACAACCAGGGTTCAGAGGCATGGTCACCTGAAGTTACCAAGCCACCTTTCTGTCAATGCCATCTTTCTGAGTAAACACTTGGGTTTGAGAAATTCTGCAACGTTTTTTTTTTTTCCTAAATTTATTTTTTTTATTTTATTATGTTATGTTAATCACCATATATTACATCATTAGTTTCTGATATAGCGTTCCATGATTCATATTGTTTGTGTATAACACCCAGGGCTCCATGCAGAACGTGCCCTCTTTAATACCCACCACCAGGCTAACCCATCCCCCCACCCCCTCCCCTCTAGAACCCTCAGTTTGTTTCTCAGAGTCCATAGTCTCTCATGGTTCGTCTCCCCCTCCGATTTCCCCCCCTTCATTTTTCCCTTCCTGCTATCTTCTTCTTTTTTATTTTTTTTTTAACATATAATGTATTATTTGTTTCAGAGGTACAGGTAACAAAGTTTTCAAAACCTGGAAGACACCAGGAGAGTTGGAGCAGTGGGAAGCATGGTGCATAAAAGAACAATGAATTTGAGAAATAGAGTCTCATCAGGATCCCAGAGCACGGAGACATGGAAAAAGAGAATGGAGTCACTGTAAGAATGCCATCCACACCTGTGTCTCTCATACCCCATGCAAGAAGCTGCCAAGAGGTTCTAGAGGAAATCGAATAAAAGTTCTTTGAAAAGCTGAAAACCATGTAATGTTAGTCCTAGCTCACATATACTACTCACAGCTTTCAAAGACTTAAAGTAGGCAGGTTTGGTACCCAATGAAACAGATGTCCACAGAGCACTAAGATAGTTCATCTTAAGTCCCCATAGGTCCTACCCTCTAGAAGCAACCTGGTATTAAGAAAATCTTTAGGAGAGATGCTAAGAACCTATAGTGTCACCATAAACAGGTTCTCTTTGGCAAGGGAGAGGTGTGGGCAGTAGAAAAGGAGGTAACTTGGAGTCCAAAGACTTTGGTTCAGGTATTGGCTCTGCTATTTATTAGCTGCTTGACCTTGGGCAAGCTCTTTAAGCTCTATTAACCTCAATTTCCTCATCTGTAAAGTGGCTTAATAACACCCGTTCTGCCCACACACTGGGGTAATTGTAAGCATCAAATATAGGCTCATGTAGACTCACTTAGGATTGTGTAGGTAACAGCACTGGTAATACAAGTCTGTGAAAATGCTAGAATCTTAGAGTTCAATAATATTGCCTGAACTCATTTTCTTCTTGCTGAATCAGCTGGTCTCAGCAGGTTTAGGGAATTTTTCAAAGAAGAAAAGTTTGATCTCTGCACATATGAGCATAATCCTTCACATGGATATTTTGTTTGAAGCCAGGGTAACAACGCATGGAATCTAGGGATTTTACCTCCCCCTCTTGTGTTGTGAGTAGATTGGTTTTGCGTGTGTGGCTAATAATGCCTATCTCTGGAGATGGAACTGGATAGCAGACAAAATATAGCCACAGCATCCCCATCCCTACAGATGGCTTCTGCCACTGAGAATGGAGTCTCTAAGGGAGTACTCAGTGTAAAGGAAAACCTGGTAAGTTTCAAAAAAAAATCAATAGTGCTAAACTTTATACACTGCATTTCAGCTCAGAACAGAATGAGACCTACTGTTTCTATATTTTTTATGTATATATTTTATATGAGATTATACACACACACATTATATATATATATATATATATATATATATATATATTTCTGTCCTGGTTCATTTTAGAAACCAAAAATGACCTTTCAGAGTTATCAGATTTCTAAACCCTATTTTTATGCTCTTTCTGAAGAAAATGCCCATTTCTTACAGCTAACTGTATTATTCCTTACCGACAAGCAAGGAATGTATTATACTGGTACAAATTCTGCTTCTCTTATTCATTTCTCTGAGTTGCACTGTTCCATATTCATTGTGAATCTGGATCCCAGGAATGAAGACCCTGGCTTTACACCAGTGGGGAATCTTTGAGTAGGGGAGACTAACCCCTCTCCCAAAAACCTCACATTCACTGTGCTCCAATAGCAATCCACATTCCTATATAATGGAGATGCCTACGATTATAGCTTTCCGAGTCATACTGTCTACATTCAGTCCCTTTTCCAACACTAAGCAAAGATGGGACTTGAGACAAGTTGCTTAAACTTTCCAAGCCTCAGCTTACCCATCTGTAGAAGAGACATAACAACAGTCCCTACCCCAGGGTGTCAAAGCACGGACTAAATTACATCATGTATATGAAGCACTCAACCCAGGGCTGGGCACATGGGTGCTTTCTATCCAGTACTAAAGAGCATTGGCTCAAATACCTCCTTCCAAACGTACTCTCTGTGGAGCCTCGTGCAAGTTCCTTAACCTCCCCATACCACAACTTTTGCATCTATAAAATGGAAGTAATAATAATAACAACACTTACCTCATAGGGTTGTAGGAATTAAATTAGTTAGAACATGTGAAGCACTTGAACTATCTAATGAGCTATGTCCACCATTTTCTATTCCTCACTGGGTAAACATTTGCTGTGATGAACAAATCTCCAAATAGGAATCATAAGCCAGAACCCCTGGTTTGCCTCGTGTAATCTCTATGCGAGACAGAATCCCATTCCTTCATGCAACGTGGCATTATTGACATGTATTACATAGAGAGACCTCGTTATTACTGGATCGCCAACGAGGTCTTTGCTCTCATGATGTCTGCGTTTTAGAAGGAGAAGATAGGCAATGAAGACGGGAAAAACATAATTTCAGATAATCCTAATTCTGAGATAAGTACAATAAAGAGATGTGTTAGTGAATAGGAGGAGCTACTTTACATATATGGTGGGCTTAAAGTATCCAAGCAAAGAATCAAGGGAAAAGACACCATGGTCCCAAAACAGGAAGGAGTGTGCCTTGTTGGGGAACTCAGGAAGTGGCCAGCGTGGCTGGCACATTCCCGGGAGTGGGGAAGTAGACAAAGTCAGAGCTGGTGGGCCCAGATCATAGAGGCACTCACAGGCCGTGGCAAGGATTTGGGATCTAACAAAAATCAAGGAATTGTTTGGTTTTAGATTTATCTAATTTTGAAAAAATTCTTTGTCTCTGTAGAGTGATAGGTCCCAAATCCTTAGCTTTATTTCTAACTCCCGGAATAAAGGGATGCCAATGATAGAAAATATAGAGGAATTTAGAATTCTCCTATCTGGGAATCACAAAGGCTTCTCTGAATAAAAGAGTGAGTAGATGGCAGATGACTTAAAACAACCGAATGAACAACCCACCCAAGGATTAGGTTTGTGTTTTGGTTTCTCCATTCTTCAAAACAGCATGGTAGGGAAGGTGGCCTCATTACTGTTGTACAAGAGAGGTTCAGAGACCACACGTAAAGATCCTAGCATGCTGCCTGGAACACAGCATCCCCTCAAAACATTCCCACATAGCTTCTTCTAGCCTGCTACCCTTGAACAGTAGTGAAAAACAAACCAGAGGAATACTGTCTCCATATGGACTAGTGTCTTTTCATTTTGTTTTTAACTAAAACAGCACAGCCTTATTCTATCAAAATTCTCCAGAACTGCAAAGGTTTTACCTGTCAAATGAGGAAAACACTAAATAAAAATGTCTCTTATTTTCCAGAGCCGGCTTTATAATCTATTCCCCTATCCTGCTTTTCCCCTAAGTACCCAGATCTCTCTATCTATTCTGCCGCAGATAGGTTTGTGTTAACATGACTGTTTTATCTTTCATAACCAAAAGACATTAGGATAATGAAAAAGCAAATGACTAACTATGGTATCTGAAAGTTGTTTTACATTTAGAATCACTTCACGGAGACTCTGAACTAAAAATTGTCTGCTGAGACTTTGCTGAATAGGCTTTCCCTGCAGTCTCAGTTACAGAACAAGATTACAGTAGAGCTTGTATTTTGCTCCAGAAGGAAAAAAAAAAAACCATTCTATTACTCTCTCCAGGACCATCACATAGAGTAGAGTTCTTCATAGTGGGTAGGGGTGGCCTGTGAGCTTCTTAGGATTATTTGCAAAATTTTGTGTCTATACATATTTTACCCCCTGGGCTGAGTATATCAAAGGAATCTGAGACCCAAACGATAGTTAAGAATGGCTGCTTGCTGTTTCAGGATACAGCTGTTATGATTTGGTTTCCTTTGACTTAGACGTTTTTATATTTGACACTAAGAAAATTCCATACATACATTAGGTATGTGGTATACACTTCTCAAATTCAAGGGTAGCTCAAAAACATTCCTCCCCAGACAGAGCACATTATTTTTATACTTTTTTCCCAGCTGGTAGGCCTGGTCAGAAACCCTTCAGCTGAGATGCTGGCCTTCCATTTGTTTTATGATCTTCTCTTTGGAAAGTATAGTTCTTGCTCCAGAAGGCAGTGTGCTCCTTTGACAAAAGACAGGGGCGCTTTCTGCAAGGCACATTTGTAGGGATACCACAGAGAGGGGCAACGCTAAGGCCTTCCAGGGAATGGCACGTAGCCAGATTTACAAATTTACAAAACCCACTTGAGACTTTGGCCTACGACTGCCCAGAGTAAAGGACCTACATGGCACTTGGTCCAGAAGCATGACTATGTCCCAGGTCTGAGTAATAATCATCATCAAATCCTTTTTGTGGCATTTTATGCATCCACAGAAAACATGCAAAGCTGATGGGGGCTTCAAGAAGCAGCACATCCTTGACATCATAAACACTTTTGGGGCAGGGACATGACCTACGTTATTTTTAAGTTCCCTAGGTCTAGGCTCAGTGCATGGTAAATACCCAATAAACACCTTTTGGAATAGAACCAACATCTTATCTATGACCTATAAGGAACACTTCTCTTAGCAAGTAAGACAGAGACTGTGGGCAGTAAGGAGCTGGTGGAGTGTCCAAAGATAGAGAAATGGACTCACAAGGAGATATGAAAAAGAAGAGAACAGATAGATGTGGTAAATACTGGTACTTCCTGCACAGTTGCTAAAAATGAGTCAGCAAGCCAAGGCTAACTCCAACCACCAATAAAACAAATGAAATGGATAATTTAAAGGAGGCAACTCTGCTAAGTCCAACATGCCCATCAACACTCATATTCACACCTTCCTGAAAGCATCACTTATCCCACAGTAAGACACTTTAATGACAAACTTTAATAGGCCTGGCTTCTCTTGTAAAAAAGTATAGAAGGCAAAGAGGAAATTCAAAATGAGTGCCGAAATTTTACTCAGAAAGAATGGACTCGATGCAAACACTCCTCTCAAAAGGAGAAATTTGCCAGAAAACTTTACCTTCCGCAACAAGGGTTATGTTACTTGCTTCTGGCTGTTAGGCCAGGTTGGCCAATGGAGAGCCTCTGGTTCCCATTAAATTCAGGAACAGTGTTCATGGGACTCACACCAGACTGTGCTAGTTCCCTTCTTTGCAGGGGGACTGAGGTCTCAACCGCTAACCTCGCCTGGCCATTGAGAGCCCCACTCCTAAGATGACAGCTTCTACCTTCTTTAATCAGCATTCTGTTTCTGGTACATGAAAAGTTCTTTCCTTCCCCTACGTTTAAATATGAATTTCTTGGGGCACCCGGGTGGCTCAGTCAGTTAAGTCATCTGCCTTCGGCTCAGGTCATGATTCCAGGGTCCAGGGACCGAGCCCTGAGTTGGGCTTCTTGCTCAGTGGGGAGCCTGCTTCTCCTTCTCCCTCTGCCCCTCCCCACCCATGCTCACTTGTTTGCTCTAATAAATAAATGAAATCTTTAAAAAATACATGAAAGAATCTTTCATTCTTTTTATGATATCATAAAGATATCATATATCTTTAAAGAATTAAAGATATTTAATCTAGCCTTTCTGTGTGCCTGGAGCAAAATACAGGAGAGAATTTTACCTTATGCCCAATCTATTATCTTCATCTGAAAACACAAAATCTCCATGGACTTTTTTCTTGGATACCAACATTCACTAGGGGAAAATAGGATCATGATTCAACCTCTTATTACCAGCTTCTCCAAATCTTCAAAAGTAGTAGGACTGTAAGTCATGCTTTTATACCCTAAGCACTTAGAAAATAATAAATAAGAGACATAATCCCAATACTCACATATATTATTGGGGCCAAAAACTCAATGTGAGATGTGTCTGTCAAGGGTTCATACAATCATTTTGAAAAGGAGGAAAAACAACAGACTTTAGATTCAGAAAGGACACCCAGAATAAAATTCTGGTTCTACATTTTTTTTTTACGGGATCAGCATTTTTTTTAAGTTTTTATTTAAATTCCAGTTAGTTAACATACAGTGTAATATAAGTTTCAGGTGTACAATTTAGTGATTCAACACTTCCATACAACACCCGGTGCTCATCACAACAAGTGCACTTCTTCATCCCCATCACCTGTTTAACCCATCCCCCCACCCACCTCCCCTCTGGGAACCATCAGTGTGTTCTCTATAGTTAAGAGTCTGTTTCTTGGTTTGCCTCTTTTTCCCCCCTTTGTTCATTTGTTTCTTAAACTCCACATATGAGTGAAATCATATGGTATCTTTCTCTGACTGACTTATTTCACTTAGCTCCATCCACATCACTGCAAATGGCAAGATTTCATTCTTTTCTATGGCTGAGTAATATTCTATTGTGTATATGTATGTATATATATATACACATATATATACCACATCTTCTTTATCCATTCATCAGTTGACAGACACCTGGGCTGTTTCCATAATTTGGCTATTGTGGATAATGCTGTTATAAACATCAGGGTGCATGTATCTCCTCAAATCAGTATTTTTGTATCCTTTGGGTAAATACCTAGTAGTACAATTGCTGGATCATAGGGTAATTCTATTTTTAACTTTTTGAGGAACCTGCCTGTTTTCCAGAGTGGCTGCACCAGTTTGCATTCCCACCAAAAGTACAAGAGGGCTCCCCTTTCTCCACATCTTTGCCCACACTTGTTGTTTCCTGTGTTGTGGATTTTAGCCATTCTGACAGGTGTGAGGTGGTATCTCATTGCGGTTTTGATTTGTATTTCCCTGATGATGAGTGATGTTGAGCATCTTTTCATGTGTCTGTTGGCCATCTGGATATCTTCTTTGGAGGAAGGTCTATTCATGTCTTTGGCCCATTTTTTAACTGGGTTATTCATTTTGGGGGTGTTGAGTCTTTTAAGTTATTGATAGTATATTTTGGATACTAACCCTTTATCTGATAGGTCATTTGCAAATATCTTCTCCCATTCCACAGGTTGCCTTTTAGTTTTGTTGACTGTTTCCTTCGCTGTGCAGAAGTTTTTATCTTGATGAAGTTCCGATAGTTCATTTCTGCTTTTGTTTCCCTTGCCTCAGGAGGCATATGTAGAAAGAAGTTGCTATGGCTGATGTCAAACAAGTTACTGCCTCTGTTCTCTTCCAGGATTTTTATGGTTTCAGGTCTCACATTTAGATCTTTCATCCACTTTTACTTTATTTTTGTGTATGGTTAAGAAAGTGGTCCAGTTTCATTGTTTTGCATATAGCTGTCCATGTGTCCCAAAAACCATTTGTTGAAGAGACTGTCTTTTTCTCATTGGCTGTTCTTCCCTGCTTTGTCAAAGATTAATTGACCATATAGTTGTGGGTTCAATTTCTGGGTTTTCTATTCTGTTCCATTGATCCATGTGTCTATTTTTGTGCCAGTACCATACTGTTTTGATTACTACAGCTTTTTAGTATAACTTAAAGTCTGGAATTATGATGCCCCCAGTTTTGCTTTTCTTTTTCAAGGTTGCTTTGGCTATTTGGGGTCTTTTGTGGTTCCACACAAATTTTAGGGTTGTTTGTTCCAGCTCTGTGAAAAATGGTGTTGGTATTTTGATAGGGATTGCATTATATGTGTATGTTACATTAAATGTGTTATGTAGTATTGACATTTTAACAGTATTTGTTCTTCCAATCCATGAACATGGAATGTCTTTCCATTTCTTTGTGTCATGTTCAATTTCTTATGAGAACTATAAATTCTGGTTCTACATTTACTAACCGAGTGACCACAGAGTTAAGAAATACTGTCCCCATTTGTCAACAAGATAAGTGAGGCTTAGAGCCATAGAGGTAACTTTCTTAAGCTGTTGTGGGAATTGGGTATAATTACAGAGGTAAAGCAGCTTTTATTTAGATGGCGTTGAAGAAATGTTAGATCCCTACTTTTCCTCCCCATTTCCTCAAATATCATTAGCAGGAAAACCGAGATCAGATCAAGGAATAGAACTGTCCAACTCCGTTTCATACTAGCTGGACCAAATCCAGTAAGCAGTCTTGAGTTCTATGCACTAATTTCTAAAGGGGGTTTAAGAATTATCTTTCTCGCAACCAAAATGAAAAGTTGGAATGAATGAATGCCAAGATTCCTTCCACTTCTAATATTTTATGATTTTTATGGAAGGATATTAATGAATTCCAGTTATATCATAAAAAGTCATAAATGTAATGCAGTATTCCCATATTTCAGATTCCTGCTATAATGTTTAGAAGGATAAAAACTTTTTAAAAATCTCAACAATCATAGGATTAAAAATTCGCAGAAATGAGTATCTCATTTCTAAGCAGCAGGCTGAACATTTTGCAGTGCTAAAGACAGTTTTTTCTACTACATGCAGCCTGATAAAATGTCTAAAACAGTGCTAATATTAAAATAATGTTATTATGCAAATGAACTTTAAATCTAATCACGAGCTAATACAGGGCAATAAGTGTGCAATTTGGGTGGAAAAAATAGTCAAATCAATTTTAAAGACAACTTTCTAAATGTGATTCAAATTTTAAGAAAAAAGCAAAAAAAAAAAAAAAACCTTCCCAAGTAATATCTTTATTTATTTATTTTTGTCAAAAACATGAGTTTACATCTTTTTTGAGAAGGCTTTGATGACCCTGGAGAAGATGGTTAAGAACTCCACATGAGCAAGATTAAAAAGCTTAGATGATTAGGAATTGGAAAATGTGCTCCTTCTAAAAAGAATCAAGATTGATTTGCCATGTTTTATTGAACTATTTGGACAAATGGTGGGAACCTAATAAATAGATGTTAACTGATTAAATTCCTTAGCATGTGAAATAATTTTTGCCCAGTTTGTATCCATAAACGATTTTTAGGAGGCTTATGCCAATCACTTACACATTGAGGCTCTCAAAATACAGAGTAAAAACCCTATTAGATGAGAGGAAAGATCTTAACCGCTAAACTTCCATGCATGGTGTTCATCTGTGTGTTAACCTTTCACTTTGTACTATTACTTTTTTTTTTTTTTTTAAGATTTCATTTATTTGAGAGAGATACAGAGAGGGAACACAAGCATGGGGGTAGAAGAGGGAGAAGCAGGCCTCCCGCCTAGCAAGGACCCGATGCGGGGCTCGATCCCAGGACCCCGGGATCATGACCTGAGCCGAAGGCAGACGCTTAACTGACTGAGCCACCCAGGCGCCCCTCACTTTGTACTTCTTAGGAGCTAAGGGGGACACATATTCTCATTATCCGATAAAAGGATACTCTTCCTGATACTTAATTCTCCAATTAATGAAAGCACCAAAAAACATATGGATGATGCCTGAAATTTGTTTCAAAGAGCTCCAGATGCATCCTTCAATTGGCAATTTCTTTAAAAAAGAAAAAAGCCAAGGGCATAATATTAAAAGGTAATTCTATAGCGATATTCCTGCTGTTGGGGAGGCAAATGAGAGAGATTATTTTCTTTTCCATCGGAGAAGGTCTTTAAATTTGAGAGAAAGATACTGGCAGACAGGAGTTCTGCAAGAGAGCTGCCAGCACACAGGTGTGTGGTACTGTTAATGAGCCATTCCACTGGCAGAAGCACATAGACATAAACCAAGCGGCAACACAGACTGGGCACGGAAGATACTGTTTTTATGTTCCATACCCTTGCTTGCTTTACTTTTACCATTTCTTTTAATAATCAATCAAAGCTCTCATAGTAGAAATCTAGACTGAAATGTCCAACAGCTGGCTAAGAATCCATTATTCTACATTTGTTGGAGGAAATTTCTTGCCAAGCATGCATTCTCATGTTATGTGGCATACACAACTCAACTGAGAAAATGTAGCTTTCAGGGTCAGCATGTAGATGACGGCTAGGACTTCTGACTTCATTTGGTCTCAGCTGACATAGAAAAGGGACCATAAAAATAAAGTGTGCAAAGAGATGTGTTTCTCATTTGAATCTCTCTGTATCTATTCTAACATGAGAGAATGTCTGTACCAAAGCAGAAATCTTAGGCAATCAAGTCATTCGGATATGTGTGCATGCATATATGCACACCCACATACATACATGTACGTATGAGCATGTACACATACAGAGATGCATTTTACTGAATGACTTGATTGTTTAAGTGCTAACTATGTGCCCGGCTGTAAAAGTGTCCCTAGAACTCTGTAAGAACTGTGTTGCCAATCATGTCAACTGTTTTCAGCACCCACACGGTTATCCTTCAATTGGGAGAGGTTTAGGATGTAGAACTGTTACTATGTATTTGGCCCGTCATCTCTCTTCTGCGCTAGGGTTTTGTCACTGACCATTGTTTATAGAGCCCCACTAGCTCAACTTCATTCTTGATTCTACAGCTAAAAATACATCACGCAAGTAAAGAACATGTTCGTGGATATCACTCTGAAAACAGGAGGGCATTTTAAAAAACAACAATAAACTGCATGCTATGGCAAAAGAACATCGTGCTGACTTTTGCACAGTCAAAAAATCCAGGACAGATTATTCAAAGACCTCTCTGGAAGCTGACAAGCTTATAAAAGCAATCCTAATAAAAAATTTCTGCATTCTGCGTATATAACAAAGTTACAGCATGTCACTTGCTCTATAAATTGTCACTATTACCGCTTGGAGCAGAAGGAAATGTACATATATAAAGATATATATGTGCATAATTTCATATTCCCAGAGGAAACTGAAAAATTATGTGCATTAAATAGTATTTTAATTGCAACATGAAAAACTGCATTTAAGCAACAGTTCATGATCGCACAAGGGTAAAGT